GCAAGACAGTTGATCAGGAAAATTGGAGTGGCCGAACATGAACGCTTTACGAAGTATATTTTGCCACGAGAAACAATTGACCTGACCTTCGATGAAACCGTTGCTGTTTTATCGTCAATCTCGGAGAACAGTCTTCCTTGTTCAGCCGTCAATTTCACTGTATGAATTTGAGTAAAAAGGCCGCTGAAGACTGGGTTACGTACGCGGGCAAAGTCAACAAGGAGTGTGAACGATTCAAACTCCGAAGCATGACAGAGGATGAGTTCAAATGTCCTATATTTGCGTGCAGGTTGACGTCTCCTGAAGACGCAGACATAACAATAATCTTCAGCAAGATTGAGCAGAACTCAGACGTCACGTTACAGAATATTAAGTCGGAATGCCAACGCATGGTGAATTTGAAGCGTCATACTATCATGGTACAAGAAAATGGTCCCAGGAATGCTGTCCGTGCGATTCAGAAGCATACTGTCCGTCAGGGTGACAAGAAGCCACCTTCGGCATGCTGGAAATGTAGTGAGTGGCATTTCGTCAATTTTTGTCCGCTCAGAAGACACCGCTGCAGCAGGTGCTCCCGTATTGGACACAAAGAAGACCGGTGTCACGGCGAGAAAAGGCAAGCACCCAAGAGGCATTTTCGAACCAGAACTTCCTATTCCAAGCTTCTCAAAGCTCACGTATTTCTGGCCACTCATCAACGCCCACACGTAAACAGGAGGAAATACGTATCAATGCGTATTAACAGCACACCTGTTCGTCTCCAGCTGGACACGGCATCAGACATCACGATCATCTCAAAAAGAACGTGGAAGCTACTTGGCAGCCCAGCATTAAGCAGAACCAAACAAGTTGCACGCAATGCATCTGGAAGTTTACTGAAACTCTGTGGTGAGTTCTGTTGTTCTATTACCTTTGACGATATTATCGTTAGTGGCATTTGTCATGTTTCCGATCATCCTGGGTTGTTAGGATTAGATTAGATTGACAAGCTGAATCTTTTGGACAGGCCACTCAATAATATATGCTACAAAACACAGGCGACAAAACCGAATATAGTTCAGAAACCGCCCGACTCTTTTTGGAAGAAGCATTCGAGCGTGTTTGCTGACGGCCTCGGTCTGTGCACTAAGTTCACCGCTGTTCTAACGTTAAAGCCATCACCATCGGTTCGACATGTCCGGAAAGTAGGTGAGTTGGCGGCTCCCACGAAACACGGCTCTCACCAAACGGCTTAGGTACAGACGACCAGCGTAGCGGGCCTGAGAATGTTCACGACCGGAACACCACCACTGGCTGTACGGAGCGAACAAGTGAACGAGCATATTTGGCCAAGTGGTCATCCTATATATTTACGCAGACGCTCTGTACGTTTTGTGCTGGCAAACAGCCGTGTCCCCAGTTCTCTGTCTCCTATCTATCGCGTAGTCTGGCAGGCTCAGTGCAGGCGTAACCCAATAGCTCGGCCAGCGCAAAATACAACAGTGTGCAAAACTACGTACTGTCGAGGCGTAACCCAATAGCTCGGCCAGCGCAAAATACAACAGTGTGCAAAACTAAGGTCGTACTGTCGACGACTATGACTGTTCCCGAAATGCCAGACTGCCCCAGACAACTGGAGAGCATGAGTTATAGTGCACATTTTTTTAAAGAAAGGCCCACGGTGATTGCGGGCATTTGTCCTTCGTCGCCTTTTGGTGGGACGTGGGATACGGACTCGGGAGTACCGAGCGGGATTCCGGCTTAGTACGGATTGAGTAGACAAAAACTCAACACTCCGTCAGGTGCTAAAACAATGCCATACGTACAAACGACTCAATTTTAAACGTGATACATTACTCACACTACCCACAATTTTAGTATTCCTGGATTTCCAAGGTACATTTGACTGGCTTGACCGATCTGTTCTCCTTAACACACCTACCCAACAAGTGATACTCCGGAAGTTTGTGAAGATAATAAGCTTTTTGTATTCTCAGACTTCGGAGTGTGTGGCAGTATACGAAGAACTCTCTAAAAGCTCCCGCATACAAAGTGCCGTCAGTCAGGGCTGTCCACTCTCTCCATTCACATTTAACTTTGTAATCGATGAGATAATGGAACTAACGCTGGAAGGTCTTCAAAGCCCGTGTTCAAATAGATCCTGATTAAAGCCTTGTCGATATGGAATATGCAGACGACATCGTTCTCGTATTCGAAGAGAAGGGGCTCGTGTTTTTGGTAGAACTGACCAAAGTCCTTTGGTATGGACTTTGCACACCCAAAGTCCAAGATCATGCTCCTGGACATGCAAACACTAAACACGCCACTTGCAATCCAGGGAGACACTCGAAGTTGTGGAGCGTTCTACGTACGTTGTATCAACTCCTATTTTACTGTGACACATGAGATCAATGCACGAATCTGCAAGGCTCGGGTCGCGTTCTGCTAACTTCAAACATACGGCGTCAAATCGGTATCAACCAGGAACTCAAGGGACTTGTTTATCAGGCTACAAGAAGGAATGTGTCACTGTATGGCCATGGGACTTAGTCTGTTCGGGCGCCGGAACTGGGACGCCTTTAGGTCTTCGACAACCGTCGTCCCAGAACCATAGCTCGTGTGGCTTGATGTCGGCGAATCCGTAACGAGGCAGTTAGAAGGCTAGTGTTCGGCTGTGCAGCAGGGACTTCCATCGAAGAATGTATCTAGCATCAGAGGCTGCGCCGGTCAGACCATATATCGCGTACGCCGAACCGTTGTTTACCGAAGACAGTGTTGTTTCCATGCCCAATGCAGAGTGACGGAAGCAGAGAGCTGGCCAACCTTTGGCCTGGCAGACAAAGAGGTTACGAAAAATCGGGGTACTTTTGGTGCAAATTGCCTTCCAGGATGGAAACCACATGATCCTCGCTGCAACTGGCTGGAGACGCTGCAAGATATCGCTGCTAATCGATGTCAGTGGCGTTCCTGTTGTCAGTTTCTATCGAGATTGCCCGAATGAGTGTCTACAGATGTAGGCACCTCGGAATGATGTGGTACGGTACCATTAAGACCCTCGCCCGTCCACTTGCTCTTTTCTTCACCACAAGCTTTCAAGTTTCTATCGAGATTGCCCGAATGAGTGTCTACAGATGTAGGCACCTCGGAATGATGTGGTACGGTACCATTAAGACCCTCGCCCGTCCACTTGCTCTTTTCTTCACCACAAGGCTTTCAAGTAATCATGGTTGTACGGCAAAGAAACACGATTGCTGAACACTGATGTTATGTTGTCAATGATGATGGTACGTGCTGTCCACACTAACGAAGGGGAATGTATATGGATGCATCACCGGTCATAATCACGAAACTGATCTCAGAAGTGACGACCGAAACCCACACTGTCCGGCCATCATTCCGCACGCCGTTGCCTGGCGTGGACCTGTAACGCTGCGTTCTGCCGGTCAGTGGCAGACTGGCGCGCTTGCTTAAGCCACGAACTTCGACAAGTGGATTCTATTATGTACTTTCGTTTACTTGTGCGTAAGTATTACCCTAGACTTCCGGAATCAATTCTCCATTTCTGTTTTTAGATACCTAGATCAACGTGTAACTAAAAGTTCCCTTTGGGGAACTAAGCAACAAACTGTTGACCGGGCCCACAACTTAAATCCAGGCGTAGATCATACCCGAGATTCGCTGAGCAGTGGTTCCGGTAACTAAACATGCACTTTGCTTTTGGCTGATGACAAGTTGAAGAGTAATGACAAGAAAAATTTGTACTCCCGACCGAGGCTCACGAATTTCATTTACTTTTACAAAAGCGCCTCCAAAGTCTCATGCAAAACATGCGCCATGATCGAACTCCGAAATCCTAAACAATATACCTGCAATTCCTGCAATTTCCAATTGATTGAAAATATACCTGCAAGTTATCATGAATTCTGAATCCAGCATTACAAAGACTGAATGTTGGATTTAGGCTCAAATCATCTAAACACTGATGTGAAGCGACTTTTCCGAGGTGATATGGGGTGAAGAAAATCAGACGCGCACTTCGAAAAGCAGTCAGAACAGCGTTTATCGTAACCGAAGACAGTGGGTGAAGCCAGCGATTTCCTATGCTTAGCTTTAATTACCGCAGATTTGCCAAAAATCTAGCAAAAGTAGCCATCCCCTTAAATTTGGTTTTAGAACAAGAGTTAGATTGGATATAAAAACAGATAAGCGTATCAAACAAATTATGAACCACTAGCGTAGACCTTTATGGGTGATTCACCCATAACAAGACCGTTGATTTAGAGTGTCAGCGCGAGTAACAGCTACTCGCTGTAACATACAGAATTTCAGGTTCCCCATAGGGTAGCACCACCCAAATACGAACGCAATTACCACAGCTGGCTTTGGTCGTTTTTGCCAGACAACTCTGCAACCACCAGCTTGTTTGACCATTGATTGTGAAGTTACTTTAGTTGTTCATAAATTTCAAGGGTCCCACGGGACGGGACTACCTTCAGGAATACTAGATCAGCCGAGTGCACAAGCGGCGTATAAACGCCATTTTTCTCGAGAGCTTTTAATCATATCCATCAAGGTTGCACCTCCATACGAACGTGTCGATAGCTAATTGATAGATATCGGGAACAACTGGGGCCCAGTGAAAGACAGGTTCCTGAAACCCAGTCGTCTTAAAAGGGGTAAGAGGTGACGTAGTGTTCGTCATGCCAAGAATATCTAGAAAGCTCACTAAATGAAACCCACAAGAAACCATACCGGCAAACCAATGCGAACATTGAACAAGGTTGTTCCAAGGATGGCTCACTAACTAGTGTTTGAGTGGAGCTGTTAAGAAATGTGGCCTGCGTGTGGTGAACCGTTAGTTCGATTCGCGTCCCCAGTGATTTTATTCTCGTACCTGTTACGATTAACTGTAACTCTCATTAGTATTAGTTAAAGATGAAGCAGATTGGTACCATTCCATAAGTCTGGTGACGGAAAAAGCCACTACATACGTGAAGCAAAATAGCAACAACTATTCACCATCACTGACGCAAAGACCGATGAAGTTCAAGGAAATCATCTGCCGGTGGATTATGATCCGAAGCATGTCGACGTTGATAGCCCGAATGAAAACGGTGCTGGTAACCGACCGAAGGACCAAATACACGACGAGGTTGCAGTGACCCTCGGAAGGATGGGGAGTAGAGACCATCACTATCCTCCATAATATAATTCGTCGGCTCGACAATAAGTTGTTCCTCTTGTACAGCATCGAATTCATAGTCAATTTCCTCATCCTCATCTTCTTCATGTCCATATAATGATGAATGTTCTGGAAAAAACGAATAGCTTCCCCGAACTTGACGCAACCGATCAGCGGCCTCCAATTCCTCAATATCTGGAATATGTACATCAGACACTTCATCTTCGTCGGACTGGGAAGCAAGCGTAGTTTCTGGATGCAAATTACATAGGTAACGCTGTAATTGGCCTGGGCCCGAGTGAATAGGTAACCGACCAGGGTGGCTCGGCACATACTTGCTAGTTGAGGGTGAAGGATCTGGATGACGAGTATGAGGTAGGGACATACGAGGACCGCGGAACTTTGGAGCCGCAGAGGCGGTTGCGCTGCTGGTACGCACATCACCTCGCTGGACAGATCTCTTGGCCTCGTTCATTGCACACCGGGTCTCATGAATTTCGGCTGAAATCCAACAAGGACAGAAGTTGCATTGTGATTAAATTAAAAGCCGGGAAAACAACATGAGCTCAGGCTACTGAGCTGGACATAAACGATAGTTATTCTCCTAAAATGGATAACGCGGAACATAGTTAGTGATATGCACTGTTCGTAATGTGGTGAAATATTGGTAGCTCGGGTGAGTTTATTGGCTGTTGATCAGATGGCTGTTGATCTGTTCGCCGAGCTTGGCAATTAGCTTGCAAGCGTTTCGTCACCGTACGAGGAGACATCATCAGTGCGCATCAACTGCGCACTGATGATGTCTCCTCGTACGGTGACGAAACGCTTGCAAGCTAATTGCCAAGCTCGGCGAACAGATCAACAGCCATCTGATCAACAACCAATATGCACTGTCTCACCCGACTGGATATTGCTGGTGGAAATGTGGAAGAGTTATCGACAGGTAATTTATTCATCAAGCCAAACAAATAACCAAGAATACTTCCACACAACGAACAAATTAATTGTCGAGCGCGTTGGTCCACGTAAAATCAGAATACGTCGCTGACGACAGAAATACCGAGTAAATTTGACTGTTCCGAAGGATTCCACCTAGTCACAAGTCAGCTCGTTAAACAATTATGTGATATAGACAAGCATACTCGCTTGTGTATGTAAATTCACCGTATCCACGACACAATCTATTAGGACCTCGTAAAAGTAAGCGATTTGGACCGTAATATGGGGGCACTAATAGCATTCTACAACCGGTCAGAAGTTGATGTCGTCAGATTTTCAAGGGACAATATCTTTTGAATCCGTGTAGGAGAGATGAAAATTTGGAGAATATTAATTGTGGACCCTAACGCATACACAAAACAAAACGACAGAATTTTTGGGTAGGACACGAATGAGCAACTTATCGCTTATCGTGTGAGTGCTCTAGCAACTGAGCATGAGGTGAGACATGGCACGTTCGACTCCCATACAGAATTCATCCTTTTGTTTGCCATGTGTGCGCTAGAGTCCATATCCGAGGTTTCCTAAATCTCATCTCTCCTACAATGACTAGAAAAAACCATGACATTTGAAAACCTGACGATATCAAAGTCCGACCTGTTTTGGAAGTCACGCGAGGGGCTCACTGGTGGAACTAATGGTTATCAACTGTCGATCAATTAAACCGAGGTGTGGAAGATCAATCTGAACTAAGCTGCACATGTGGGACGTGGGGCAGCATTCAACGTAGCTCAGTTGGTAGAGTATTCACTCAACGGGCCAGAGGTCACGGGTTCGATTCATGTTAAAGGGCATTGTCACTTCGTTTTCAGTGTGTTTTGGTCAATATCTCAATGTTGAGCACATCAGCATACAGTCACCTTCGTTTTTGATTCTCATTTGAATCTAGCTAACTGGGATGCAAATTAGTCTTTTGACCCAACATTCAGACTCCAATGGCAAGTATGTAGGTACATTTTGTTGACGCACAAGCATGTCTAGGCCCGACATATTCAATTTTGTTGAATGTCTGAGTATGCACTGCAGCTGAAGTAGAAAGCTCCATAATAACCTGCCATCTGTTGGCAAAACGTCCTAGGGCATGGGAATTTTTGTCAAACAGGTGCAGAGGACGCGAGGCATGCTCTATATTTCCAGACACTTTTTGTGGAGGGGACAGTATAGCAACGGCTGCATTTGCAGACGAAAAGGAAGGGAGAGGGGAAAAACGTGCCAAGCTTTTGGAACCTAAATGAAGGCGAAATCTCCGTGGAGCATCTGAGAGTAATAGCGTACATGCTATGCACATTATACTTAAGATGAAATTGAACGTGCGACAAAAGAACAGTTTGAGTGCGACCGTCCTGCATCTGTCAGGACCTCTCGGTCGGGTAGCGCCACGGATGCCCGTAAAGAAGCGACTTCAAATGATAAGTAATCGTTCAGCGGTAACGCACCTTCGGTGGCTGGCTGCTACGCAACTCAGAGGACGCACAAGAGATGAGATACTGTCAACTGTCTCGAGACCTAAAGAGGCTATTTATTTTGTGCAATTGCCGCGCGGTTGAGGGATTCTCAAGATTTGTGAAGTTGATGTCTTAAGGTAGACAAGGGAGATCATAGCAGGATACCAGCACAATGCGGATTCCTGACTCAATATACATCCTGAAAGTATGAACCCTTATACCACTAATCATATACAGATCATCATCATCATCATCATCATCATCACCATCATCATCACCATCATCATCAATGACAGCAACATCAGTGTTGGCACTGATGCTTCACTGACGTAAAACCATAAAGTTCGTTTAGTCATATATATATATATATAATTGTATTAAAAGCCCTACAGAGAAGAGAAGAGAATAAGAGTGGGTGAGGGAGGGGATCTAGTGCTGGCCTATGTCAAGCATACTGAGGTGCCTACACCTCCAACCGCTCAATCAGACAATCTGCAAAGAAACTGACAGCACGAACGCCACTGACATCGATTAGCCGCCATTTCTTGCAACGTCTCCAGCCAA